CACGTAAACCATTCGAAATATCACTTTCGTTTCTTTTCACCGGACACTCGCGAAACTTCGTAGAACGATTTTTGCAACTCTAAAACTAAATATATCACACTCGATTTGACAATCCGACAATTTGGTAACTTGTTAGAGAGGAAGAAAGTCGTGAAGTGGAGCACTGGAACGAGCACACCGTGGAGTGCGAGTGACCGAACCCTTCGCACTGTGTAGTGTGAAATTAGCACTTCTGGGAGTGGTGTGTTTTCGCACATCAATAGTGTGAAACTCGCACCAATAGGAGTGATTTGGGTCTGGAACTTTTTAGTGAGTAGTCCGTAGCAAACGAAAAGGGGAGACTGGGTCTCCCCTAAATTATAGATGATAAGGCAAACTCGCATTTCGTCATAGGTGCAGCCGTTTTGGAGAAAAAGAGGAACGCAGACACGGACAGACAGACAGACTCACGACCGAGACAACGCCTGACCCCTCAGCAACTTGGACTGAGCTTCGCTCAGCGAAAATGAGGGACAGGTCGCAACTCTGTTAATCTGTAAGGAATAACTTTGAACAATGATGCATGGATTGGGTAAGCTGAAGTTTCTTTACCTTAAAAGTCACGGTCACTTCCCGGCCCCTTATTACGCCGAACCGATCTTCTGCGTGGAACCGTTTCTCACAATCACGAACTCCTTCTCGACCCTCGCATTGCGTAAAATGGTTTTCAGTGATGCCCATCTCTAGCAATGCCACTTCTTGAAGCGCTGACCAGACCCCGATGCTGAAGCCAGGGTCATTTTGAAGTTCCTGGAGGTTTCAGAGCATATTCAATGTACTTTATCGGTAAATTGAAACGAAAAACGATAAAACTTATTCTTTGTGGTTATCATACTGGGAAGAGCGATTTGTCATAATAACCCAAAATGTATTAAACCAATGAAATTTACATGGTCCTGGTCTTATCGTCATTTTATCATATTAATAACGTTCGTTCGACTCCGGTCCTTGTACCTCCAGCGATGGAGCTGGGAATGTTGCATCTGCCATCTCTGCTGACAGCAGGGCCTTGACAGCCACGTTGACGTTGAGCGCAAAGATGAGCCAGGCAGCTGACACGTACCGCCCGCTCTGAGTAGATGGGAGCACCCCCTGAGCTGGAGGCATCGTTACCTCAACTAGTTGTGACCAAGTGTCCATGGCAGACCTATTTTTGACACAAGAATTTCAAAAAACAACAAAAAACGAAGTATTTGAGGCAAAAGATCGTCGTTATCGCCATTTCAAATGGTGGGTTTTCACCAACAAACGCTTGTACGTTTGTTCTTTATTCGGCTCGCTTCCATTTCCCATTTTAAATGAACAGGAGAGAACCGAGGCACGAAAAATGCGCAACACGGCACAACGTCAAAAAATGGTTTGATTTTCGAACCGTTGCCGTTTGTCACTGAAATATTATCTGAAAAAAAAAAAAACGTCAGGGAAAGCTGGTTTCCTACTCTTCAAGTTTGAATTCAATCCATTTACGCCTTAAACTAACAGGAACGGCAGTAGGATCGAAAAAGACAAACGAAAGTTTGCGGCCCATTGTTGTCGGATCGACGGTTTTCTTCAAATTTTTGACGCTTGAGCAAAATTTTCTCGAAAATGTACTGTCAGATTGACATTGGGATATTAAGCTTAAAGAAAAGGTTTTCTAATTTTCCGCTTGATTTTTCATTAAAAATTTAATGGAATTGCTTGGACGGATCTAGAGGCTGCCACGAGACTAATTGAGGATGAAAGCTGAAAAGGCACCAGCAACACCCGAGCAATTGTCCTCTACGGGGCCTAAAAACGGAAAGTACATGAAAATTGGCTTCAGAGGCCGCGCCGAGGCAACCACGTCGACACGGGAAATAGTTCGAAAATTATTGGAAAATATAAAACAGACGCGCGAGAAGTTGAACCCCTTCGACGAGGGTTGTCGCGTAAGCAAGGGGAGTAGGGCCAGAAATAATGTTTCTGGACTGCCTTTGTGAACATTTTAGCCCAATATCGTTGATTTCAGAGGCCACGCACTTCCCTTGGTGTGTATACTTCTCCTACTTTCATACTACGGTCAAAATCCGTTCGACTAGTATTTGCGGGACAAAACTTCACCATCATACTGGAACAAAATATCAGACCATTATTCTGTAGTGATTACCAGTTGCCATTTTTGACAGTGGCCGTGGTCCTCAAAGAATCGTGAAATCTCAGCCCGTAAACTACATTTTGCAAGCAGGCAATGAACTCATTTATACAGTATTAATACTCTCAAAGTTGCAAGTAATACTCACCTGTGCAAAAAAAAAAAAATGAGCAGATCCGAGGCTGCGGTTAACTGATATTTTAATGATGTACAGCTGCCTGGAGCTGACGTTAACTGAAACTAAACTTCTCTACGCTGTCCCGAAGCTGATCAAGCTATCAACTGACTTTACCAACCTCAAAGCCAACCTGAGACTGACGTCTTTACGCTCACGTGTACAATTACTGACTAAACTGAGAGTAACTGAACTCGTAATTTAAATAAGACTGAACGTCAGCTGCGTTGCGCTGACCATTTTCTGAGGTAACTGATAGTAACTGAACGGGTAACTGATGTAGTACTGAGCGGACCTGACGCTGGCTGCATTGAGAAACTCAGCGTGACTCAGGAGACAAGCAACGGTAAGCTTTCCGCAGTACATTTTTGTTACTGAGTAGAACTGACTAACACCTGATTCGGGGAGCTGGATAGCGGTTCAGTCCATTGATCAGCTGTACTGAATCGAACTGCTGTTTGCTGAGTCGTGGCTACTGAGGTCCACTCAGCTGACGTCCAGCCAAAGGCATTCAAAGCAGAAGCTGAACTGCGACTGACGCTAACTGAATGGAGAAACTGAGAGTGACTCAGTAGCTGTACAGCTTCCCGCAGTCGATTTAGGGTACTGAGTCAAACTGAGTACTGGTATTTGGCTGATTCAGTCAGGTTCATGCAGTTGGCGTCAGGTGAACTGATAGTTTGCTGATGTAAACTGATTCGCTGTCAGCGCCAAGTCGGCTCGATGCGCTCCAAGATTGGCTACTTTCAACTCGTTCAGTCGTAGGTCATGCACACGTCAGCTAAGATCGGACCCCGGTCGGATGAGTCAGTATACTGCGGTCTCGGGTCAGCTCGAACTTTGTAAGTAATACTGATTATTTCATTTGGAAGTGCTTACGATGCTGCTTTTAGGTAGTTCCTGACAAAACCATCAGCATTACTCACAAAATTTGTGAGTATTACTCGCAATTCAACCGAATAATTTTCTGACTTGGCAAGTATATTTCTTAAAAATCTGTTTCTAGTGGTTTGAGACAAGTCTTACATGGTGTACTTGTTTGTTAAATCAAATATGTTGATGCAAAGATTCATTGCAAAAGATTCATTGCAATACATTCTTTATGAAGGATTTTACGTAATTTAAGTCTGAGTAACAAGTTGTCAATTAAATTAGGTGTTTTAAAAAAGTGGGGGATGACATACACCCGTATTACTCCTGTATGAACCTTGTTCCTTGTCTATTTGCAAAATGTCTTTAACGGGCTGAGAGTGTTCTGAACAAAATCTTAAATTTACACACTGCGCAAGTAAACATTCATTGTTGAACGAAAAAGTCCATAACGAACGTACAAACGGAAAAACCGTTAAGAAAATCGCGGTGGTTCGCGATCGAACCTAGAAATAGCGGCAGTCCACCACGATGAGGTTCTCGGTGAGGACAACGAGTAGCGTGCCACGAGGACCTTGGCGATGATCGTCGTGACAGCCGCCAAGACCAGCAAGGCCTCTAATCCGGATAGCCACAGCCTTGCGAGTATGGTAGACAGGTGGCCGCGTTTACGTTGGTTACCTTGGCAACGAATGTGTATCTCCTGCGTCACCTATCAAATACAGTACGTTACTTCGACTGCTGGGGATTTTATCGTTATTTGACATATGAATGAGTTCTGTTAATTTTTGGAGCGACTAAACCAATTTCGGTCCGTATCCTCTCTTTACACAAGCTCACAGGTCTCGGAACAATAATTTTCAATTGCCAAGGGAACTTACTATGAATATCTCTACAAAACTGATTAATTTAAGCGACAGCGTGTTGGTTTATATCCGAAATAAGTCTAGTAACTGTTCTCGAGAAATTTTCGTTTATTTTAATGTAACCAGGTGCTAGATGGAGTTTTTGTAACAAATACGACCTGAACCACACCGTTGCCTCGTCTCTCAGTGGGGGGAGGTGTCTCTGGTCTTCACACTTTACTCCGAGTACCCCAGCACTATCTTACTTGCTAGAACAATCGTGTTCTCGATAGCTTCGCTGTCCACAACAGTTCAGAGTAAGTGGCTTATTGCTATGCACCACATTCCTCCTTACTCCCCCGAATACACTCCTAATCAAACACTGTGAGGTCGCAGTAAAAGACTGTGACGTTATACATCTATTAGAATACTGAGTCACATAGTTCTCGCTACACTACAATGTGAAAAAGGGTCACGTAGGAGTGCTAAACCTGTGAGGGCAGACCGGGGGCAACTTGGGTGTTACAGCATGTTCTCGGCAAACAGTTCCCTGTTTATTGAATGTGAGGCCACAGTGCTGCGGACGCGGTTCCTGTGACACTGTCTAGAAGAAGGTTCTATAGTGTCCCAGTTGAGCCCAAAGGCTACAACGGCTGCGAACAAAAGAAGCGCCGCGACATACCTCGACGACAGTGCAAGTGGGTTGTAGGTATTGGATTCTAGTCGGCAAGAGTCCAAACATTCCCACAGCAAAGTCACATTCACCGCGTTGGAGGCGCCCCAGGCTTCCTAAAAGAAATTTAAAGGATTCAGTTAATTCACTGGAAAAAAAATTGGTACGGAATGGCATAGAACCTGCCCAACGGTGCTAAATTTTTATGACTTCGAGACTTTTGAGCTTGCACGAAGACATTGATATGTAACATCCCTAGACCGGCATTTGTCCTACTTTTGTTTTTCCAGTATGACCAAAGCCACACCATACATTCCTAAGTGGCTGGACCGGTGACATTGCAAGGGTAACGGGGAAAAATTGGCTTAAATAAACAGAGCGGACTGTTCGTTATTACTCAGAGTAATAATAATTCACTGGACCAACCATGCTTTATAATATTACAATTACCCTTTTCACGGAAGAAGAATGATAATATCTCTATAGGAATTGGTATTCTCCCTCTTGGGGGGAAAGAATAATCTATAAGGATATTAATAATCCAAAGTAATTAAGAGGGTTTTCTTAAAGCAAATGAACTTATTTTGGATCAGATTTTGATTTCTCGTTCTCTACGCTCGCAATCGCGTGCTAGTACAAACCACGCAGGGAGAGGCTTAGGCTACGGCTCACATTTCACATTATTTTTGGGGTCCATTAGCTGCATCCGTTTTGGACATCCGGTGTATCACTTTCAGCCCTGATATATACTTTTCACTAATTCCGACTCAATAAGTATTTTATATTGCTTTGTATCTAAAGGAGTGCATCAAGATAAATAGCTTCTGGGTAAAAAAAAAAGTTTCCCTTGCTGCAAGTTTATTTTGTACTGGAGGTAACCCAAGGTCAGTTCTGTTTTCGGGCCAGTCAAAATTTATCTTGCATGCCTTGTACTTGATGCAATACCAACACGATTAAACTAAAAGGACGAAAGACGAATCCACTTTGCAACAGTATCTTTCTTTTCTTAAAAACAGGGCAAACGAGCAAAGGCAATTTCGTCGAAAAGAAATGGCCCACTTATGAAACTACCTTTGTCACCTTTCTTATTAAAAAGTCAGAATTGATCTCCTGACAACAATGCGTAATAAAACAAAAATTAAAGACATGACGAGACACAGCATCAGTTGGCAAACGTTTTTGCTACATCAATGAAAGATATATCTACCTATAATACAACACGTTTTCTCATGCAAACAATGGGGCTTTTTTAGTTGGTTTCGGTTACGTTTTGGTTTAGTTTGACCTAGATATCGTCAATATGTAAACAATTCTCTTCGACAGTACAGTATAGAATCTTCGTCCTCTCCCTTGTATACGAGATGGCTGTATGTGCTTAGTTACATTTTGAGACAAAAGCAATCACCTGAAAAACTGCCGTTGGTAAACTTATTAAATAGTGAGGTAGTATCATCTGACCACTTTGCTTGAAAATTGCCGTACTTGGCTGCTGCTGTTATTATACTCTGTTTGAGGACGTCAACAGAATCCGTGTGGTTTAGTTGCCTATCCCACAGGCTGCAATATTTGCTGTCTAGGGAATTGGTGCTGTGGCAGACTCGGACCGTGCAGCCGCGGAGATCTCTAAGACATAAACAGGACAGGTACTTTCAAACTCTCCAGAAAAAAGTTTTTCGTATTACAAACTCCATACTCAAAAAGTAAAAATACTGCTTAAGTTCTAAAAACTGAATGCAATATGTACGATTTATTGCAAAATTCACCGCAAAGATGATCGATCACATTTCAGGTGAGCGACGAATAAGAGTCCTTTTTAATAGGGAGAGCAGAGGGGCTACATCTATCGCACCTGATGATCGGCTAGGAGGGGATACATCCACACACGCAAAAAAGCCTGTTCGCTATATGCTGAATGTTTTGCTGTGATCATAGAGGAGAAAAGACGTAGTCGCTATGGTCACAGCAAAACATTTAGCAGAGATAGCAAAAGGTTTTGTTGTTTTAGCAAACTGTTTGCTGAAACAGCGAAACCTTTTGCTAAAACAGCGAAAACAAAAATGTGTTTGCTGCAACAGAAAAACGGAAGAACCTGAAGTTTGCTATTTTAGCAAACAGGCTTTTATGCGTGCACCCCGCGCTCAAGACAGTACGTTGACCGTGGGGGTGCACCTCTAACACTACGCCTATAGCCTCGCATTTGGCCACGTAGCGTCGCGTCGCTCTTAGGCATCTGCCTATACTAAGAGGGGGTCGTAAGGAAATTGAAGATCTTTCCAATATGCCTATTCCGTCCTATCATTTCACTTAAGGTAGGACCCTAGTGAAATGGCCAACACCCTTAAGGGGTAAGATGAAAAAAAAATCAAAAATATTTCCTTTATTGGTACCTTTTGAAACATTAAAAAAAAAATATGGAAGCCTGGTATGGGCAACACCTCAAGTTTTTTTGTATTACTTGTTCGACTTGTAGACCCCTTGGAAAAATGTTCCATGCGTCTCAAATTTTGACGTAAAAATTTGGGTGTAAGATTTTTTTGATCAGATGGTTCTACTCTACAACTTCAAGGTCTCATATTGTGTCTATACCTCTCTGATCATTATTCAAGAATTTTACATTTTTCTACTTTTTCACAATTCTAAAAATACCACTATATTCCTAAATCCACAGTAAAAAATAATCATTCTACTTCATTTAAAAATAAAATCAGACCTTGGAAGTGTAGACTAACATACAAAGAGTCACAGCTATGCGGGGGAACAATGTAGCTATAAAACTATAACGCATGGAACATTTTGAAATCGGAAAACTAGTGTTTTGAGATAAACTGGTTTAAAGATTCCAATTCATTTTTCTTTGAATCCACAGTGATTTATTCAATGTATAGGGCAAAAATGCATACAAAATCTTTTCTTATTCTAAAAGTTACAAAACTGACATTAAAATATTTTTTTTTCAAACTGGTCATGAGGGTAATACCATATGGATGGAACAATTGAAAAATTTTAAAAATCTAAAAAATCTAAAATCCTCCTGGGGCATAAGTGACTCCTTCTTTTTTCTTCTTAGCAGCTTCTTTGTTTTTTTTCTTCTTGTTTGACTTCTTTCTTGCTCTTTTGGCCACCACCTGGTCCTGCTCCTCACTTTTCCTCAGTCTCTTCTTGTCTTTTCTTTCCGCAATTTTCATAGCAGCTTCTGTTACTTCCTCATTTCTGAGATCAGCTTTCATTTCCAAAATGGTCTTGCACCCCATATTAAATTCTCCAACCCCCAAAGTGATTCCAAGCTGGTATCTTTTGAGGGAGAAAAACAAGGTCTTTGGGCATCTATTCCAAATGACATGATGGAGTGATTCATTGGAATTTTGTGTACCAACCCTTGCACACCGTTCCAACAATTCTTCATTTGCAAGCCGTTGATATGAGGGGAGAATTTTATCAAATACCTGCTTTGTTATAACTAGTGACATGGCAGTATGGCTTTTGGGTTGTCTTTTTTCTGCCTTTGCCTTATTATAGAAACACCAGCTATTTTTACCTTGAGGACAAAAGTTATGGTTGGGTTTGGAGTCAGTAGAACTTACATGGTAAATCGTGGCCATTACAGCTTTCTTCATTTTTGGAACATCAGGTGCATTTTTCTGTATGGCTAAACGATAATACTTTTGCAACTTATCGATGGTGTCTGCTTTCAAAGTGCCTGGTCCCCTACCTCCTAATGTTACACCTCTCTTTTTTTCTGTATCTACCACATTTCTTAAAGCAGTACCTAGTCTTTTCTCAACATGATTAGTACACTCTTCTTTAACCAAAGTGATGCCATTGTATATATCTAAGCTTTGGAGGTGGTCAAATGTTTTACCATCTCCATCAGACAGCATGACAGTATAACGCATTTTGCATTCCTCTTCAGATCTTTTCCACAATATTTCAGCTACTTCTTTCTCCATAGCCGGAGATGATCCATCATAATTTTTGCCACAGTCACCAGAGATAATGTGCTGTTCAAACCACTCAACATACTCGGCACTGTCTTCACCTAATTGATTTGCATGCAGGGAACACATGTGGCAGTACTTAGATAAAATTTCATAGTCAATAACCAAACCAGTAAATATATCAATGACAGCCCCAAAGCCAACTAATGATGTGTGCCCACGTTTAGGCCATGAACCATCAAAAGAAACTGCTAAGTCTAACACAGCCTCTCCCTCTAAACTTGGGTCGACATCCTCATGAGCTTTTCTCACAGCTTCACGAGAAACTTCA